GATCATTTCTGTTTTACACCTAAATCCATAGATGCGAACCCTCCAAAGACTCAGAATCTTCACCCGAACGTACTTAAGCGTCCTACCTCGAGAAAGATTAGAAAGGTAGATTTGCTCGGACATCTTTGAACGAAACCACCGCCCAAGACCCTTCAGTTTTCTTTTAGGAATCAGAGAGAGATAGAAAATCTCGAAATAAATGAAACAATTGTTTACAGTGCACATACACGGTGGAAATTGAAATAAGCAGTCATAGCCACAAATTTTTAAATTTAAAAAATATCTTTTTCCTAATAACTATTTAAAACATAAGAACAGCAACAAAATAATATTAATAACTATGTGAATCTCTAGATTATACACAAAACAAACTCACACCATATTAAGATAGATAACGCCAATAAGAATAATTAGAACCATCGCTAATATGATATAATGAGTTAGATCGACATAAATTTTTAAAACAGAATATTAATCATTAACTAAATAAAATATATAAAAGCCAAATAAATAGCAACAAATTCAAATAAAATAATTACTCATCATCAGAGTCTTCAAATATAGGCCCCGATCCAAAATTTGGTACGGTTTGATCAATACCAAACACCAAAGGATATGATCCGTATCTATCAACAGATACATCACTACCCTTAGCAATATAACTAAACAACAAATAGATACTGCTGTAACTCCTAGCTTTGCTTCCAATCTCAGTCCTCTACATCAAAAAAAAAAAAAAAAAAAAAAAACCCCAAAAATAAGTAGACAATAGAAAACAAACAAATAATTTAGAAAACACGAAGACATCTATAATAATAGGACATAGGATCTAACAAATACGTAAACTACACACAACATACCTCTTTCAAAATATTCGGTCGCAATGAATACTTCAGCCAACTCAAAACCTTTACAAACAAACAAAACAATTAAAATCATACCTTATAGAATGGTAAGATATTCTGATGTCTATATATACAAGTCATGACACATAAGACAATAAGAGAACAAACATACATGCTTACAAAAGCCCACGCGATCCGTAAAACACGACGGAGCAACAACTCTTCTACGCCAATCCCGTGTGGTCTAAAACATCAGAGAAACAAATATATAAATTAAACATAAAACGATTATTACGTTACATAATAAATACACAAGATTCGACAAAATACCTTATTAAAATAAAACATATCATTCGTGCATCTTCGGGAGAAGGAAACACCAGCGGTTACCTAAGCCAACGGTACGAAATAAGAATAACCCGTAACATTTGATTATCGCGAAATATATATACAAAAAACAAAAGCCAAATCATCATTTAAAAGTTAGAAAATTAATATCAAACTAAAACCGATCCACAATAACCAACATATTAGATACAAATAAGAGAAATACCTGTTTCCAATAAACCGACACAAACCGAGATATGAGTTCATCGAGTACCTTCAAAATCACGGTAAGATGAAAATCAAACAATAAGATGTCAAACCTTGTACATAAACTCAAAACTATTTGACAATTTAATTATAAATCAATACTAAAAAATAAAACGCAATAAAATCGCATATAAAAGTATATACGATAACAGGAAGAAACACATAAATGTATATGGGTAAATAAATATAAAAATATACAAATTAAAACTATAGAAGTACCTCCCCAAACCTCGCTCTTTGCTCGTCAACACCACCTTCGTCAGAAAGCTTTGTCGATGGAACCTCCCACGTTATACAAAACTGAAACACACACCAAAAACAACAAATTAGCAAAACAATAAATCATCGAATAATGCAAAAAAATAAAACAAACAACACAAACAATATGCACACGACCTTTAAAGGTCCATAAAAACAATATTTGCATGACAAACAACTCGATTCATCAGAATCGTAGTAGCTATATAAAAAAACCATAACGGTGAAAACTATCTAATGGCCACAGAAAAATAATACCTAATCCTCTGGCCGATCAACAATATATATAGCTTTAAGATTAGGGCAAACACCAATCATTATCTTAAGAAATTTTACTTTTTAATTAGAAACAAAATCAGAAAACTAACAAAAACGAATTTTAACTGCTAAATTATAGAATTATCCAAAAAATTAACAAATAAATTTAAGCTAAGATTCCATAATCATTAAAGTCGAGATATTATGACCTCCATATCCCCAGCGATCATACTATAAAATAAAAAAAATTAAGGGTGATTAAGACTAATCATCACAAAACACGATTAGACTTATATACCCTTAACAACTAAGAACAAAAATTTTCGAATTAAGGGTGTTTAGGACATTATAATAGAGATCAACACACGATTAGACTTATATACCCCTAATTACGAAGAAGGAGAAATTTCGAGAAGAACAATTCATTAAGGGTGTTTAGGACAAATCATTCTAACTTTTAACCACAGGCCTCCAATGCCCTAACTTTCAATATGGTGCGTTTCTACTTCTCAAATAATTATTGTAGAGATGTTTCGTGTGTGACGTTTTAGAATTTATGCTTGGACTTATGCTGAAACATTCTTTCTCGTTATCTTCCACTAATTTAGAAATGAATAATTATGATCACCTCGATGATCAAAATCCCACGAGGCATTATTAATAATGCAATATAAATATGATTGTTAGAAGTACTTTATATGACTTACAATTACAAATGTTTATGAATCGTAATCAGCTATATCGTTTGTGCTTATTTCTTGAAAATATATTGATAAAAAGGTATATTCAACAAAGTTAAATGAAAAGAGTGAAAAAGAAAACAAGTTGAAAAAGGGGCCTCGACAAATTTTGCCAGTAACACATTTCTTTGTTAACAATTTAAAACACTCCAATTTAATTACTTTATTTATTTATTTAATTGGAACATAGATATAAGAAAATGAAATCTAATTTGCTAACGTACGTCAAACGACATCCATGCATTTTTAATAAACTTTTTACAATTTTTTCCCATTTTGTCGTCGAAACAATTTCAAGAAACATCAAAGTATTATAACATGATCGACGGATCTTGTTGGACCGTAACAACAGTACTGTTACTACAAGGCCAAGTGGAACAGTTTAATGAGCTTCGTTCGATTTGACGAAACATCAAAACTTGTCGAATGTTCAACAACTTATCTTGGAGACTACGATGCTCCATACGTAGACGATCATTTTCCATCTTCGTTTGTTGATAGTGGTATAAAACGTACCGGAGCTGGTTTGTCAATTCTTGGTTCTGAGTCTTGAGCTGGTTTAGCTGCATACTCATCTCCTCCAAGTGCTTTTGTTTCTTCTCTCTTGATCGCTTAGCCGATTCCCGGTTCGATAATTTCCGTTTCTTTTTCCGCTCATCGGTACTTTCGGTTAGAGCAACGTCTGTACTGATCTGGTTTACTGAACCATAGTCATGGGCCGAAACCGGTATTTGATCCATTGACGAATCGAAGACCGAGAAGAGGTGTGAAATGTCCCATGGAGTGAAACCGGTTTCGAAAGCTGGGACAGAGGTTAATTCGGTTGAGAAAACCGGAGAAATAGTAGACATCATGGTGCTTAACCGGAAAAAAGAGAGGACAATTTAAAAATGATGATCTCAAAATGTAGAGAGAAAGAGAGATTAGAAGGGGAAAAGGGAAGGATTGCATTGTTGGAGGCCCATATTTATGGACGAGAGACTCTCTACACGAGAGGCTATTTTGGTCAGACATTAGTAAAAAATACTGATGGTTCTTTTTCCTAATAACTTTTTACTTTTCTTTTTCTTTTTATCTCTTTTTTGAGTTTTTCTTTTTCTAAAAAATGAAAAGAGAAAGACCAAATTTTGAGAAAATGAGTCGCATCAGGAGAGGAAATTGTTGGACACGTGTCTGTGTAGGATTAGATGTAACTCAAAGTAATTTGGAGAGCCAAACTTAAAACATTGGATTGTACAAAGACTCAAATTTTATATTTAATTGATCTTAGATTAAAAAAAACTAAAAAAGAAAAGAAAAATATTGATCTTAGATTAGATCTTCTATGAACATTTGATTGTTGAATGTGATCTGCCATGTTTAAAGGAGATCATTGTTGTTAAGTGTATCTTTACTATTTTAGCTAGACTTTCAAATAGGAAGTAGAGACTTGTGTGTATTCAACTTCTTCTTTGTTGCTTGCTATAGTTTTCAAAACATGTTTTTTTTTTTGTGGTAAAAGTTGGTATTCTCCATCGTAATAAGCCAATAAGATAAATTCTTGTAATATTATTGTTTTTTTTGTGCAAAATAATAATATCATTGTATGTTTTTGTTTTTTTGCCGTGTTCTTTGTTTTTGCAACATGTGCAAGTCTAAACCTCGTTACAAAAGTTGAAGAAGGAATCTTATGTTTTTTTTCCGTTAAGATTCCTTTCTTTTATGGTATATGTAACTGCAAATATAGTTAGTGAAATCTACGTTCTGAGACAGAAGAAAAAGTTATGGACCAAAAAGATGAAAAAGCATCCTATAGCATTAAAAAGAAGAAGAGATATATATATACATATTTTGCTGTTATATATAGTGATATGCATGCATGCCACTGTATTTTAATTTTATTTTTATTGGTCGGCATACTTTTGTATTTAAAATCAAAATGATGGATTATTATTCTAGCTAGGTAAAATATAAAATTGTTACTAAAGCGGCATGCAAAAGTAAAGGGACTTGGATCTATCTAATTAGAAAAGTTACACCTTGAATTTTCTATCCCAAAAAAGGTTACCTTCAATTTTGAATTCAGTTTTGATATGATTTAATCGATGTTATTACGTCTTGTTTTCAAATACAGTCTTTTTAAAAGTTGTCGTATATATTTAGAAAATTGACAGTCCTAAGATTTCTTTTTTTCTATTGTGATGTTGTTGTCTTATCATCCGAATTCATATTCGGTTATATTATTATAAAAAGGAAAATCTTAATTAGTGCTACGGAGGAACTAATTTGATTTATAATTATCATACCAAAGAGGACTAGAGGGAGAGAATATTCTACAGTTTTCTTAATAGCAAAGCTGTTTTAAAGAAGCCGTTCCTATGGAATACAACAAAACAAGAAAAAGCAGGGCTTAATTATCAAACTCTTTCAGCTTTATAATGTTTTCAAGTTTGTTGGAGATCATGTTCATGTGCACGACCACTTTATAACTTTTAAAATTTTAAATTCTTTATAAAAAAAAATTATTTGTAAATTAAAAACTGTTTAAAGTTTGCAACCAATAGTAATAACAACTTTCCTTAAAAAAACTGACCAATAGTCACAACATACTCATACAATGAAAACAAAGAAAACACTAATAATTAAGTTCTAAAATAATGAAGGTATTGGTTATGACGTTATGTGTGTTTTCACGAATTAGCTAGTGTGTAAAACACTATAGTTGTAACCTGTAGAAAATGATATATTCTCTATTTCACTAAAATAATACATCTACATATACAAAAGAAAAACACAAAAAAAAAAAAAATACTTGTAATCTAAAAATTTGTGTAAGTGTGTCATCATTGTAGTATTACTCGGGTTCAAATTAAACTTGTATACTATAGATTATTGACAAATATATATAGTAGATTTTTGTTGTAATTTATAACAAAAATCATAAAGAAAACAAATTTACTATCTGTTTAAGAAGTTGTAAAATTACTATATTTTTGTGGTCAAATTACTACAAAATAGTATAGTAGATTTTGTTGCAATATAATTTACTTGATTTTTATTGCAAAATTTGTTTTCTTTTTTGCTAAAACAAAATTGTTTTCTCTAAGAAGTTGGTAAATTTAATCTCGTATAAATGTTTTAACTAACTTCTTAATTAAAGAAAACAAATTTTGCTACTATGATATAGAAAACATTTCTTAATTTAAAGCATATATTTTGGAAGCCCCCTTGGCCCATTGGTTGAACAAGGGTTAATTAATGATTCTACACCCAGAGGTCTGGGGTTCGAATCCCAGATACTTCGATTTATTAATAAATTTGCAGATTATTGGAGGCAAGTGTGCAGGAGATCTCCAGCGATGTACAATTATAGCCGTTCGCCAAGATTCTACGCAGAGAGGGAATTGTCCATCAAAAGCATAAAGAAGGAGGTGAAGGAGGTGAGTATGAAGAAGAAGGTGTCGTCTGTCGTGGATCTAATAAGGGTCCGAAGGAAGTGTCCGTTGTAGAATCGTCTATGTAACAGTTCTCATAATTTGCAATAAATAATAAATCCAGACGTTAAAAAAAAAAATTTAAAGCATATATTAAGGGAAGACACTCCCGGTATTGGATATGGTGTTGAAATAATCCATTACGACTGTACGAGATGGGTCTTAAATGATCATCCATACCAGTGTTATTGGAGGGGTTAAAATGCATGGCCCATAATACTTCAACAAAAGAATTATCTTATTGTTAGTCCGAGACCATTGAACTATGAAGCAGAGGTGTGAGGCCAATTTAGATAGTATCAAGTTAATAACGATATATAAAAGTTTAGAATTGGGCACATTAGATAACATTTTCCACAGTCGTGAAATCTTTGAATCTTCGTTGATATGTATATGTTTCGATCAGTTTAACAATGGGGTCCATATGATTCATTTAGCTGACATTTTTTTATTAAAATCACCAAAGAATTTGTCTTTTTAGGTTTGTAGAAGGCTAGTCTTTAGGTTGAAATGAAAAAGCTGCATACAGCTTCTCTCTGCGACGATGTTGTTGGTTTCGTATTTTACAAATCTCATCACACTGATCTTGTTGATGATGCTGCGGTTTTATATTCAGAAAAAGAAAGTTTGCCTTCCGCTTTAAATTTTGTAATCCTTCAGACTCTAGGAAACAAAACAAGGATGAGAGTTCTGTGGGATATCTTGTGTTGATCATGAACAAATATGACGACTCTTCCATGGAGGAAGTCTTCTTCTTCTTCTTCCTCGTCCATGGAGGAAGATGTTGGGTTCGAGGAGGAATTCAGATGAGCGAGCAGGACTTGTGGCTCGGATAGAGTTTGGTGTGGATGATTGACTTGCTTACTTGTTCTATTATCTGCCCTAACTTGCACTCTTCTAATTAAACTGGTTTCTTATTTGCACCTTTTGATATTAGTGACTATTGGGACTAAGATATATGTCAATCTTCTATTTCCTAAATTTATTTAGATACGATCTTATCTCGTATAGGACACTACTTGTGTAAAACTACTTCTCTATTCTATTGAATACAACAAGACATTACAACTATTTTCATGGTATCAGAGCTAGCCATCGATGAAACCGCCGCCGACGTTCTCTTTCAGCCTGCATTGTTTACTTAGGCGATTCTTCTATATTTTGGAAAACAAAGAAACAAAACATGGTTTCAAGCTCATCCACAGAAGCCGAGCAATGGCCTATACACTTAAAGAACTCAAATGGATAAAGACACTCCTGAAGACATTGGGGTTTGATCATCAACAGCCAATTGAGCTACATTGTGAAAGTCCGACCGCAATCCACATTGTTGAGAACCCGATCTTTCATGAGAGAACTAAAGTACACATCGAGTCAGATTGTCATCAAATATCCGACGTTGTGCAAGAAAAACTGATAATTACAACACACATCTCTACCAAGAACTAAGTCGCATATCTTTTTACCAAAACCTTACCAAGACCGACGTTCGAACGACTCTTGTCCACGTTAGGTGTAAGCAATTTTGTACCACCATATTGGGACTAAGATATATGTCAATCTTCTATTTCCTAGATTTACTTAGATACGATTTTATTTCGTATATAGGAAACTACTTGTGTATAAATATTTCTCTCTTCTGATAAATATGCCGGAGAAACTAGTCAAGTTGATTGATAAAAATCTTCGAAACAGGATGAGCACAATTCCGAGAAGAGGAGAAGGGTTCTATGAAAAGGGTCTACAAGTTTGGTTCGCATCAAGACGACACCAATAAGCAAAAATTCCATTAAGTTTTTTATGAAAAGTTTGCATTCAGATGTATAAACGTTTATTTTTTTCTTGAATATAATTTAACATTAGATTAAAAATATATATATATATATATATATATATATATATATATATATATCTTCTATTGAGTACAACAAGACATTTCAACCTATTTCCTTGACCATGCAAGGCAAAGCATATATATACCAAAAAAAATCCAAAACCCTTTGCCTAAAAATTTTTCAAATTATAAATTGCAGAGAAGAAAATTTATTATTATTAATTGATTAGATTTGATTTCTTGCTTATTCTCCCTAATTTTCGATTTAGAGCAGTTGTTGAAGATTTCCGTTGCAGTTTAACAGGGAGTTCCTTTGATTTTTATAATCAAGCACGACACACTAATAAATAAAGGTCTAAATATTTAGCATTACAACATAATAATAACACTAATAAATAAAGGTCTAACATAGGTTACCATTCGAACTTGATAACACCAACAAGTAAGGGTTTAAGATATTAACTTAACTTTTCATATATGAACTAGATTATGCATCATCCTCGGCGTCGTCCTCCTCGTCGTCAGACTCGTAATCGGGTTCGGAGGAGGTGTAGTAAGAAGCAGGTCCCAACTGGAGACCATAATAGTTGATGGCAAGCCTCAACTTCTCGAGTTGTTTTTCCCTAGCAGCCGAAAGCGGAAAAGGCTCCAAAAAATCGACAAGCGCATCATAGTAAAGAGCTGCCTCATTGTTTAGTAGATCTAGGACAAAACTTTGCAGTTGGTCAAATGTTAATTCATCAAGTGTAGAAGGTCGTAGCGAGAATCCTTTAGAATCGCCAACTTTCTTCCACCTTTTATCAATCTCATGAAAGCAATCATAAATACTTTCTACATATTCGAGAAGATTGAAACAGCTACGACCTAGTCCTTCCTGCAAGAAAAAAGGTTAAATTATTATTATGATGATAATAATAATTACAGAATCCCCAAGAGTTTAATATTTAATCACCGTGTCTTTGACGTAGTTTGTTGCATGGAGAAGACTTTCTTCAAACTTTTCAAGAGACTTGTGTAGAGTTAATGGGTTTAGTTGATCACCAGGCTTCAGGTCGGAGACAATATCGTCATCGGAATCCTCCTCCTCCTCTTCTTCTTCCTCTTCCTCCTCCTCCGACTCGGAGTTCAAAAGAGGAGCATCGGACTCCTCCTCCTCTTCTTCTTCTTCTTCTTCTTCTTCCTCTTCCTCCTCCTCCGACTCGGAGTCGAAGAAAGGAGGAGAATCGTCGTTGTGGTTGGCTTTACACATTAGCGGACTTCAGATATCAATTGTACGAAGAAGACAAAATCGAGATAGAGAAAGAGAGACTGAAGTACGAAGAAAGACAAGATCAGAGAGAAAAGACAAATGGGCTGCTTCTTTTTAGGGTACTAGGGCTTTTCCGTGGCTGTTAATGACGAAAATACCCCCACTGAAGTAAAAAATATCTCCGCTGCCATTAGTTTTTTTTTTTTTTTTACGTTTGTTGAGCCCAGGTTCCTGGGACTGGAACGAATTTATTGTCTGCTCATGTAGTTAAATATCATTTATGGATCATGTAGTATAATACTTCTTTTGTTTTATTTTATAAGATGTTTTAGAATTTTTTTTTTAATTAGATATTTTATAAATTTTTATATATAACTTAAATATATTAATATTTTAAATTATTTTGTTATACCGTATTTTCTGTGATTAGTTGAATTGTCTTGTAATAAAATATTAAATAATTTTTTTAATGTGTGTTTTTAGTCATAACATATTATAAAATGGAAGAAAGAGAATATTATTATACTACTTTCTTTTCATATTAAATATCATTATAAATTTAAACTTTTGTTTCAAAACAACACTTATTTTGAATCTTTAATGTAGATGTTTGATATTGAACAAAAAAAATGAAGATGTTTGATAAAATTTCTAGTTTTATTCATAGCGTTTTAATCTATTAACCAACGAAAAAATGTATGATATATTAATGCGAAGTAAAACAAACAAAAAAATAACTAATTTTTAAATATGCGTTAAATAACCGTAAACGACACTTAAAATAAATCAGAGGGAGTAGCTCATTTTCTATTTTTATCGATTAGCGCTGGTGAGGAATTTTAAAATATTCTAAGAGTAAAATTCTCTGTATCAGCACAAAATATATATTTATATTTTTTGATAAACCCTATCGGCTGATCCGGTCGATCCGGTCAGCTCCGGTAGAAATTCACCGAAGTATTTCAGAGTGGACTTCTCTCCGAATGGCCATCACAATGTCTGAGCACAAAATGTTTCACTCTCACATTCTGCATCTGCCTTCTTCTTCTGTCTGCATCAACAAAACGATCAATTTAGATCCATAAAAGCAATATGTTTGCAGCACCAGCATCTCATGAATATTTCATTTACTAACCTTGCTTTGCGTTTCTTCTTCAGGGCAGGTTCTGGCTCAGATATCTCCACTACTGCAAAAAAACTGGACGCTCTGATTCTCGATCAACAAAATTACCTAGAATAGTTTCTTTTTGTATATGGAAGAACTTTCGGAAGATGGAAGAACTTTTGGACTAAACTGCCTAATAATTTCGGGTGTAATCTCAAGATTTTTTACCTCTTCAAGAATGGTGTTTATATCATTTGTAGATCCTTGCAAGCCACTGTTAAGAAACTGCTCTTAGTCAACTCTTTTCAGGAAAACTAAAACGAACAAAACTTTTAACTAATTCTGCATCAGAATAGATCCTAGGTACCAGAATATGATTAGCACTTTAAAGCAAGAAGTACCTGGAGCCTTCAAACCTTCACGAATGAGTGTGTATTGAACTTGTTGTTTTAGAACTTTTGTTAGATTTTCCTTTTCCTTAGCAGTCCAGTTTCTGCGTGCCACTAGTACTGGATATTTCTCTAGTGCCATCCTATAACTTGCAACACAAGGGTTCTCCGGTGGACCTAATGATAAATGAGATATCTTTTTTTTTCTTTTTTTTTCCCTAATGAGATACCTTTTTATCATTACCCTAACACCAAATTTAAGAAAAATACATTTTTCTGTCATGGCAAAAAAAAAAAAACAGAGCAGATGCAAGGATAATTAGATCATAGTTCGATCATTACCTCAGAGCTATCATCAGAAACTACCAATGAAGCAACTGTGTGTGCATAAAATCAATGAGCCCACCAAGATTTTGATAAGCAGAGAATCGTCTTCGAGGTCTTCACCTATATCGTCATCATCATCGTCGTCGTCAGCTCCATATAGCAATTCGAGATTTATCGTGTTACATAAAGAAAAAAATGTCTATAGAGAAGAAAAATGTATCGAAGAAGAACATGAACAGAGGTTTTCTTCTTTCTTTCTCTAAAAGTTAGGTTTTGTTTTATGGGTCCGTTGAACCATCAGAAACAAACGGGTCGAATTAAATTGGATCGGGTCGGATATAATAGTAATTCGATCAGATCAGTAGTTTTGGACCAGTCTTAGGCCCATAATAAGTTCGACATTTGAAAATAAAATTACCAATAACAGAAACCGGATTTATTAACCTGTTGGGTTGACCAAAAAATATCGGTTTTTATTCGGTCAACGTTGACGATTCACAAAATATTTTATTATTTTTATTTGAAGAAACTTAGATAGTCATCATTATTATCTCTTTAAATGGTTAATATTGCCAATGTGAACGTCTTGCTACTTGTACCATTTTATGATTCGCGTGTTCACATGCAAACCGGAATTTTCTTTTTTTGATAATCCAGTATCCAGACCACACAGTGATCTGATTAGCCCACTGGGTCTAAGCCCACGTTACAGGGATTTTTAAGCCTCCACTTAAGGGCCCCCTGATAAATTGGTGGTCTGGGCGCCTGAGCAAGTCCGCATGTAAATTCCAAGGTGGCCACAGGAGTGAGAGAGCGAAACTGCGTCTGGGGAGGATCGATCTCTGGCCTAGACCAACAGGGCGATCCTTCCAACCAAACGAGAACCACTCGCCCACCACCATGTGGTTCAAACCGGAATTTTCAGAATGGCAACACCTATGGTTCAAAAATTTATATTCGCAAAAGTGATTTTTTTTATAAAGAAATTTTTAAATTAGATGTGATGGCAATGATCTTAGCCAAATAGTAAAGAAAATAAAAAAAAAGCTATGTATGTATTTGGACTACTTTGGAGTAAAGATAATACGGTTTTGTTCTCTAAAACATATTTTCTCTTTATTGTAATTGAATCCTTATTCTTCTTTTTCTGTTAAATTAAAATAGGAAAGTATGGACCGAGCCTCACGTCTTTTTGTAATAATAAAAAATGCTGAACAAAAAAAAAACATTCAAGAGAAGAAAGTCCAAATTGTTTGGGATTTGTTCATAATTCTCTCATTGTGACATTTATGATTTATCTGTATAAATAATTGATTAAAAAAAATGTATCAGTCAATTTTCGATTTGAGCGATTTGAGATAAGCATAATATATTTTCTTTAGTTTTTCATAGGCCTGGGCATTCGGTTAACCATTCGGTTTCGGTTCGGTTACGTTCGGTTTCGGTTAGTTTGGATATGGTAATATAATAACCATTCGGATATTTTAAGAATTTCGGTTCGGTTCGGTTCGGTTACCTTTCGGTTCGGTTCGGTTTGGATATTTAAATAGATAACCGTAACTAACCAAACTTTTATCACGTTCGGTTTGGTTCGGGTTTTTACCCAAATTAACCAAAATTTACCGTAACTAACCGAAACTAACCAAAATTTACCGTAACTAACCGAAACTAACCAAAATTAACCACAAAAAAATACAAAAAGAAAATACAAAAAAAGAAAGTATTAGAAAAGAATATTAAAATTTGATTCAATTTTGTAAAAGAGTATTTAACTTTGACAAATATAACAAACAATATTTGAATATTTTGATTATTTAAAGTATTTGATTATTTTGATTCTAAAAATAATTAATATTTTGAGTTTATAATTATAGTTTTGGATATTATTTTTGGGTATCTTATAGGTTTTTGGATATTTCGGTTAACCGTTTGGTTATCGGTTCGGTTCGGTTCGGTTTCGGTTAGTTTGGATAGGGGATTTTACAAACCATTCGGTTATTTTAAAAACTTCGGTTCGGATATGGTTCGGTTTTTTTCGGTTCGGTTCGGTCGGTTATTTGGTTAGCGTTTTTTTTGCCCAGGCCTAGTTTTTCATGTGGTTTTAATTGTTCTCACGTATATGTATTGACCATTGAACATTAAATCAGTTATTACTATTTGGCGCGACCTTAATTAACTTGTCATCGAAATCAATCTCGAAGACTAAAACGGAAATGAGATAATTATTAACTTCAAGAACTTTCTATTCTTACTAAATTCAACGTAGTCATTTCTAGAATAATGGAAAAATTCATCTTCACTAATCTACAATTAAATAATGTTTTTTTCCAATAACATAAAGATAGGCTGGAGCTTCTAGCATATTAAACTAGACACGACATCGAGTTATATATTACAAAAAGTGAAAGGTTAAGTAAGAAAATATCAAAAGAGCTATTGAAAATTTGGTAAGAAAAAATCTTAGGTATATGGAAATCATGGCAAGAAAAAAAAAAGAGGATAATTATTCATGCCCCAAGAAGAATATATGTTTATGTTCGTTGTTGGATAAAAGATAGATGATGACGAATATTTTGGAGTTGGGATCTTGACTGAAGAATGTTGGGTTACTTAAAGGTCTAAATGGTAATCGAAGAATCTGGATGAATCCGGCTGAATTGCTGAATCTGGCTGAATTTTTAGTGATTTTTAGCTGAATCTGGCTGAATTTTTACATTTTCAAATGGTAACCGCTGAATCTAGCTGAATTTTTTTGTGCTTTTCAGCAGAATCTGTCGAAATAATTAAGACTTTAACTGAAATATCGTCAAATAATTACGAATATTAGTAGAATAACTAAAGAAAAATATCTAAATAAAATAGATAAAATTATCTAATTGTCTAATTAACTCTTATACCAATAAATAAATACTATAATTAATATCTTTTTAGCAAAATTGAGTTGTTCTTCCAAATCTAATTTTTGAACTATTAAAAAGATATAATTAATTAATAGAAAGCTTTGTCAAAGTTTTATTGAAAAATTAATTTAAAAATAAACATGATAATATAGTATAGATTATCTTATTGATTTTTCCTTGTTCTCTAGTAGTTTAAATCCTTAATATGATTAGGATGATTAACAATTTTTTTAATTTAATATTTTAAATATTATTTTAGCATAAGAATGAGTTATTTTTGTAAAAATTTGGAAAATTATATTTAAGTATCTAAAATTTATTAAAATTATCTATAGATATCTGAACATAAATATGTCTCTTGTCTATTCTGGTAATGATTTGATGTGTATGAATTATTCATATATCGTATTTGTATGATCTAATTTATTTTAAAATATAAATTTGATGTGTAAGTTTTAATAGCCAAAAATATTTTAATTCGAGTTGTGAATCGCTATAATCCAAATTTTTATCTGAAATGAACATACTATGTATCTATTGATGTTGGAAAAACTGTTGAATCTGGCTGAATTTAGTTTTATGCAAATGGTAACTGCGGAATTGCTGAATCTGGCTGAATATTTTTTTTATGTTTCCATTTACACTCTTAATAAATCAGCAATTCAAAATGATTCTTCTTTAAACTTTCGGTTTTGGAAGATCAACTTCAATAACTGTATATGTGTTTATATTAAGATGATGATAACGCTTATCAACAATGTATTCCTTCGCTTATGGGTCAGATATTCCAAGAAAAAAATGGTTTTAACGACGGTTAAAACTAACCTCATCCATATTCAAGAGTTAATCGCCCAAGGATCCGTGGTCTAGTGGCAGAGGAAGCTTTAGGAAAGGGTAAAACTTCTAAACCTGAGTTCGATTCTCCCTGGAAACAAAAACACATTTGTTTGGGAAGTCTGTCAGTTGGGCTTTGGCCCAATTGGTTTACCAGGTAGTCAGAAATACAGGCGGCCTGACTACCCCTGAAACTTAGTCGGAAGGCATTCCAAACTCGGGATAGGCAGAGTGGTAGCCCGTAAGAGCCTAACACGGTGTAGCACCTCGGTGCGTTCCTACCGGGGCCGACCGGATAGCCGATAGGGTTTATCAAAAAAAATATTCAAGAGTTAATCTATCATTTTCCAGACCTGTACCAAAAAGGACCTTTTATAATAATTTCATAAAGACAATGAAAACTTCATAACTAAAAAAATTATTGAATAATCAAACTCGTAGACAAAAATTTATTTTAACTAGTTTTGAAATGTATTTATAAGACATGACTAGGTTAAATGGTTAGAGGAAAGTACCAAGTAGTATAGTAATTTATAATTTCATATAATCAACAAATGATGAATTAACAGAGAGTTCAGAATTCTTTAATTTAGATCGTTCGAAGTTTGAAGCAGCCTGGATTCAATACGAACTTTTGATCGTTACCAGATACTCGAAATTATCAAGTAAGAAGCTTACGATACGTGTGACGTAATTACAAATGTGAATGGAATTAATTATTCATTGTATTTGAAAAGTGTAAGACGACTTTGCTAACACCTCTTTTCCCTATTCTTTTGACCAGAATTTTTCATAATATGCTTTATTATCCCATGCGCGTTTTTTTTTTTTTATCGATAAAAGATATATTGTCCAGTATTTATTATTCCTTATCATTTATTTTGTGATCTTATTATGTCAGCCATTTTTGTTGATTGTCACCCAAAATTAATATAGCTAATATGTGGTCGTAACTCGTAATTAATGCATATGTTTTGATAGATCGGTACCTCACTACTCTAGGTTGTGGAAAAAATAAAAACAATTCAACTATGACGTGGGATGAGGTTTTCTATCCTCGACGACATTCTAGAATACCTTACAAAACTACACCATCAACTGTTTTTGATAAAATGTTTGGTTTAGTTTTCACTGACTGGTCTTCTTTTCCATTCAGCTGCACGTGAGAATCATTAGGTGATCATCTTTTCCGCTCTTACTCATATATATATATCCACCATCAAGTTTCTTTAACCCTCGACGAAATGATTTCTATTATCATACACACATTTCTATTATTTATACATCTTAGGTCGGCTATAAATCTACTCATATTACATGCAAAACATTTTGATTTATGCAAAACATGGCGCACAAATAAAACTTTCTTCGCATTAATTAAAACGTACTATAAGCGTATATATATTATGTTTTTAAGAACTTTAACTTTAACCAAAAAAAATATATTTCAATAACCCACTGACCACAGTTTGAAACATCTTCGAAATTAAATCAAAATGTATATTGTTCTTGTTCTCATCCAACGGTCACCTTTTTTCCGTGGTCACATGATATATATTTTGCTTTTTTGAGCAATCATTCACACACAGCAACAACATCAAATAATTTAGTAGGGCCATAAAATTATAATCTAACACGGCATGAATAAAAAGAACATCTAACTAACATAAAACCAAATTCAATTAATTTGAGCGATATATTTTTTTTAACATCAAATCATAACTTTATTAATGTGAACCAAAGATTACATTGTTAAAACATAAGGATATGAACACAATCAAATAGATTTGTAACGAAAAGGCAAAAAAATTCAAGCGCCGCAATCCAAATGATATGCTTAGTTGCTTTCGTCGTATCCGTCAATCTTGTGTGACTCTCTAGCTTGGGAAACATCTTCTTTTTATCGATGCACCATCTTTTACGCTTTCGAAAGTCAAAGTCTGCGATCCATCCGTTACATCGCAAGACCCTAGATTTGGGAACTCTCCTGAAGAAAGAGATATGAAGTTTTGTGATTGTAGCGTAAACCCATACTTATTGTTGATCTGATCTTCTGATTCGCATCATAATCGCATCTCCATCCTCCGTTGTGGGTTGATTCCATGGCGGTTTTCGTGGTGGTCGTTGTCTCATTAACAAATCCAAAGAGATTTGTACTAACCATCGAAAAGCCACGAAACAGTGGTCTTCGGAGACTACCATAAAACTAACAAAATATGTTAGTTTCGATAAAAACTCGGTAATACATACCGGATATGCCTCGGCGACTTCGCCGGAAAAGACCTTCACCACGGAGGACCGGATGAGACATGGTATATAGACTTGAGACTCCCACAAAACGGTTCCTTTTTCATCGACCAGAGGTATTACCGTCCCATGAGACGGGTTCGCTTCTGGCTTCTGCCTTCGGATCTGATATCCACTTGACATGAAAGTGGTGAATGTTTGTCGCCGGTGTAAGCACGAACACGGATAAAGTCACCATCCGAAGGAAAACCATAGATCGGAAGAGATACCGGTGGAAGAAAGTGTCGCCCATCCAAAAAAACAGAGACAGAACGTAGAACAAAACTAAATAAATAGAAAGGAACCCGACCGACTATTTTGTATTTATTATTATGATTTATGAGAGAAATCAGAAACTCCTGAGATCCTTCCTTCTTCTGTTTCAGAAAAAGAGAGGCGACTGCTTAGTTAATTCATTAGTACGAAAGAGTGTTTTATATCTTAATTTGAGCGATATATATGAATCGTTTTATGACGCCATAAAGGTAGTTAACTTTACCCTTTATAAGTTTCTATGGTTCACATTTGGCAGCATCTCGCTATTTGTCAACTCGTGTTTCACTATAAATTCACCTAATTGACTTCATCTTCTATTCATCCTCACATCTAATAATTTCTCTTATCTCTCTCCTCTGCAAATCACAATGGCTAAGTTCACAACCATTTTCATCATGGCTCTCCTTCTTTGCTCAACACTAACCTATGCAGCAAGGCTGACTCCAACAACAACCACCGCTTCTTCCAGAGAAAACTCCGTCAAGGTTCGTTAACTTCTATGTCTTTGCAGATTATCACAAGTCAAAACATATATGCAAAACCAAGATATATAGCAGTATGTTCCACGCGTATAGTAAGGAAGAATACCTAGATTAGTCTTAAGTTTTTGTCTAAGATACTAAAGTATACAATAAAGTTTGCATGCATGGTCCTTAATTAAGATGTTACTTCATTTCTTCCGATTTGTTTCGTGTAATAGATTATATATAAAATCACAAGATTTATTTATATGACCCCGGGAATAATTCAAAAACTAACACTGATCAACGTCCATATTTTGTTATTATGTATAGGAAATTGAAGGAGACAATGTTGAAGAAGAAAGCTGCATAGGAATTGGAGAAGAAGAATGTTTGATAAGACGAAGCCTTGTTGTTCACACCGATTACATTTACACTCAGAATCACAAGCCCTAAATTTCTATGTATTAGAGTAATTAATTAACTAATTATATTATCAAAACCTATCCCTGTACTTTCTGATTTCTGTTCGTCTTTTTTTTTTGTTTTGTTTTTTGTTATTGCTATTTTAATTTTTTATTGTCACTTTGAGAGTTCTTATTTTTCACGCTCGTTTGTATAATTATGGATTTTAATATAGCTATAAGTATTTTTATTTTGTAACGTTTATATTAAGTCACAACAAATATTTGATTCTGTCCAACATCCGTGTTTGATTGTAAGTTGTAACCACCAGCTGTATTTTTTGTCTTCAAATTAGACGCGTTGACTGAGAAAAAAAGTAGTTGACTTTTCTTGTGAAGAACCTACTTTTCTAGCACCTCTCTATCAGGCAGGGGCCTTTGATTGGGCCCATTGATCGTGTGCGATACGTCAATTATGGGCTAAGGCCCTGAAACAATCAGTCTGGAGTATTTTTAAGGAATTTGTTTGTGACCCCCAAATAAATAAGTTTTTTTTTTTTTTTTTTTTTTGTATAATTGAGAGGGTCCCTTGTTTTAATCTAAGTGTGGTTAACTCATCCGGTTAAAGAGGTGTAGTTATGAGTGACAAAGGTTTTGTTAGTAGTTTAGATGGTAGTGAACAACATAAGTAGAAGAGGAAGAGAAAGAGGTAATGAAGATTAGCTCACTTTGGGATTATTAGCCAAGATGTCCACGACCACCTCAGCTTCCTCGACTTCAATTACCGCGATCTCCAACAATAGTCCACTGCACTTCTTGGACCTTTTGAGATGGTTTTACTGGCCGTTTTTGGGGATCCTTTGTGTGGACACATCATGTGAGGCTTATGAGTATGGAACATACACCATTTGCTCTCCAATTGCATAGACTTGTTGTTCCCTAACACTCCCAAATCATCGTACGAGGCATAGTAAGGAAAGGGGCGTTGTTACAGTGTTATTGGAAGCACGTTTGATTCCTAGATGTTCCTATTTGAGAAGAGATGATTTATGTATGTGGATCCGCCACAAATATTCGCAAATGCTGGTCTTGGACTTAGAAAACCTATGAACCAACAATCCGGAACTTCCTAAGTTAAGGATAAAATAAGTATATGGTACAAAACCCTTTCTATTGTTTGGAATTAGCCTCAGATTCTTCCATCTAAAACAAATGGCTGCTTGTAGAATTACGGGCTGATGATATAATCTCTGTTATGGGATAATTTTGAATGGCATAATTGTTCATTGTGTTGAGATTACGCAAAATTGGCATTGTCCTATAATTTGCCACACTAAATGTTGCAAATTCAAAAAAAATTGTATCTAAGTATAAGTTGAAGTTAAATGATCAGACCAAATCAGGATGAGAGTTGTTAGAGCATCTCTAACCCATCTCTATATTTGCTTCTAAACTCTATTTTAGAGGCAAATTTGCTCCAACCCACCTCTATTCTCACCTCTAAAATAGAGATCTCTATTTTTTTCTCTATATATAGAGGTGAGAATAGAGAATCTCTATTTTTTCCTTTATAAATAGAGTTAAACTTTTTAGAAGAAAAAATAGAAGAACACATTGGAATAAAAATAGAGAAAACTTATTTCTATTATAAAAATAGAGCTAAAAATAAGGAAATACATTGGAGATGGTCTTATCAACTTTCTTTTTCTGGATAACAAGAAACTTCTTTGTTACTTATTGACTCGTTCTCATAAACGAACATGTATGGGCCTTGTCTCAACCACGTCACCACAATTACTCAGCAACTATATCCATACCATATATTATCCACAAAAGTGTAACAAATAATGTCCCACACTTATCATTATCCAAATATCCAAATCCAAAAAAACATTCAAACCAACCCATTTCTTTCTATCCAAAAAAAGTCAAAAACAATCACCTCTCGATATCTCCTCAAATAAAAAATTTTTTAAAAAAAAAACAATTTTACATCAAATTTGATTGATGAATCCAAGAATTAAACCAAACAAACAAACACAAAAGTGTTTCTTGTCTTTTAGCCTGAAAATCCAAAATCAGTTTCTTGGAGTCAGCATCCATGGAGCTTCAACAATCTGTAAACACAGAGACAAACATAAACTATGAAGAAGTGATGTTTTAACTCTCACAAATCTCCTTGTCTCATTTCCTCTCTCTCTCACTTTCTCCACATAACTCTCCACTTTACCATTCGCTCTCTCAATCAACACTTCTAACAACGATCTAACCGTCTCAAACGTTACCCGCCCGGTTAAATCCACCACGTATTTCCGGTTACTCGGTACCGATAACGACGACGATACCCGATCGATCCACGTCGTCTGTTTTGTTGATCCAACGGTCAGCGTTTGAGACGAAACTTGACATGACGATGATCGGTTCAATTGAACCGGTTTCCGCGACGCTCTAACAAACGTTTCAACCGCGTTATTACATAGCGTTACAAGCGTTTGCTTAACCTTCCCTTCGTGTTTCGGATTGGTTAAACCGGCGAATAAATCATCGAAAACGTTAACGTCACTCGTCTTATCGAGATAAACCGAAACCGCAGTACTCACGAAACGCTGAACGCAATCGCCGATCAATCTCCTCCCATCATCGGAAAAAACCGCGTCCAGCAACTTGGAATTCGAAAAGATCGGAGATTCACCGTCGCTGGATGATGAATAAAACGCAACGACTAAGTTTCTCGCAAAGCTACCAACAATCGCCGAAGCAAAACCCGACCCGGATTTCGTAAACAGCTTATCCATAACCCGATCCGTAAAACCCGACCCGGATCCATCATCAATTCCACGGATCAATCCAACAGTCATAGCTTGAGTGAATCTGATCAAAGAAGAATTAAACTCATCTGATTTCGCGATTTTGGAAATCTGCTTGAAACTATTTGGGATTTGATCTGAATCGGATCTGAGAAAGACAGTGAGATCTTTGGAGATAACACTAACAGTTTCAGCGGAATCAGAAGCAGCTTCGATGAGATTGAGAAGAAGAGTAAAAAGCTTAGAGATTTGTTTGCGTTTCTGGGAAATTGAAGGAGAATGATAAACCCTAAAAGCACCATAACCACTTACTGCTAATAAAATCCAATTTTTGTTCTTGAGAGCAAAATCAAAATAACCCCTTTTGCTCAACCCTAACTTATCCATAAAACTAGAGAACTTCAAAGAAGAGTAAAAATGGAGACTTTATTTGAGTACCCTTTTAAGCTGGTGAGAGCTCTCTCTCATTCGTTTTCTTCTTTTCACTTTCCCGGGAAAATAAATGAGAAAGGAAGCAACTTTTTTTTTTTTTTTTTTGAAAACAGAGCAAGATAGAGTAAAGAAGGAAGTGGGAAAATCAAGAATCTGGAAGGAATGAAAAAGAGAAAGAGAAAAAGGGAAAATTCTGTTAGGGAATGGAATTGGATAAGAATTCAAATGGTGACGTCAAAGTTTGTTAACAGAAATTGTAACAAAAGAGAAAGAGAGATTGTGAATTATTGAGGCTATCTGATGATCAGAACAATCAAGTAGGTATGTATGATGGAGACAAATACATGCGTGTAAGAGAAATCCATAGTGTTTTATTGGAAGGTTCGAGCATGGGGTTTAGTTGGATGATGATAAGAGTCAGTTATGGAGTTTTTGAAGTTCAACATCTTCCGTCAAATCTCAAATCCCATATTAAAAATAATAGTTTTTTTTTTTTTGGTTTTTGCGTAAAAATAATATTTTTTTTATACTACTAAACTCATTTAAAACCCTTATCAAGAAACTGCATGGTCATCGACTCATCGTGGTAGATAGATGCGTGGAAATTTTAGTAATATGAGAAAATAAAAAAAAAACATTGAGGGTATTTTTTTTTGTATATTTATTTACTATTTTACATGCGCCCATAGTTTTTTTTTCTTTATTGCTTACATATGGACATTAGTTGTGTCAGTAATACATACCACACAATTGGGTTGGTGGTAGAAGCTGAAATTCCGCAGTTTTTCTCTCATCAAATGGAAAACTCTGACCTCAAAAAAGATCTTGTAGCTTTTTGTTATAAGAAAAAAAAATTTGGAAATTTCCACAGTAAGACAATCATACAAGTCGTCTACAAAAAGAACTGTCTCGGTCTCGCTGAATGAAAACCACTGCAACAAGCCTTTATAGAAAAATCTAGATCAAAAATGTAAAAGTTTAATGAATACTATTAGAATAACAGAAAATATTGTATATATTTTTTACTTGATTTTAAAAATTTAATACAGTAAAACCTCTATAAATTAATAATGTTGGGACCATGATATTTTATTAATTTATAGTGATATTAATTTATCTATAAATTAATACTTATTAATTTATCTATAAATTAATACTATATTTATTAATTTATAGAAAGTTTTGTTTCAATTGTGAATTTTTTTATAAAAAAAATACGAGCTAAAGCAACGTGATCTAAATAAAATTAATGTTTTGGATGTTATAAATTTTATAGTCTTAGACTTAAACATTTAATATTTTCGAAGAAAAAATAATTTCTTTTGACAATGAATAACAACGATTATAGAATTCACATATACAAACGATATACATAAATTAAAATCCACAAATAGTGACATCTATTGTTGTATTTTAAAAACCTATACAACTATTAAAACAAAAATTATGCATATTCAAATTTGAAAACTTACAAAAACTTTTGGCTATTTTTATGAAAACACTAAAACTATTATATATATATATGATATTGGTGTTTTTTTAAAGATCATATTTCATATACAAGCATTTTTTAATAATTTTTTTTACCGTCTAGATTTATTATTTATTGCAAATTATGAGAACTGTTACATAGACGATTCTACAATGGACAATTCCTTCCGACCCTTATTAGATCCACGACAGACGACACTTCCTTCTCCATGCTCTTGACGGACACCTTCAATGATCCACGACCTAACGACACTTCTCTCTCTGCATAGAATCCTGGCGAACGACTATAATTGTACTTCGCTGGAGATCTCCTGCACACTTGTCTCCTTTAATCTGCAAATTTATTAATAAATCGCAATATTTGGGACTCGAACCACATACCTCTTGGTATAAAAGCATTAATTAACCCTTGATCAACCAATGAGTTATGGGGGGTTCCACAAGCATTTTTTTTATAATTACACATAAGAAAAATCTCAAAAACTAATTTCATAAAATCTTGCCATTTTCTTAAACAAATATTTCTGCTGTGATTTTGAAAAATAAATAAAAAGGAATTTAATAAAGGAATATATTCTGCTTCGTTTGGGACCTGTGGAAATGGGCCGGCCTTGCAATCATAACCTCACATTTTTTCTTTAAAACAAAATTTTGTTATTATATTATGCATAATTAACAAGTTGAAGCCAATGGATAATGGCGGTGGCCATCTTCTTACCAATGTCCATAAAATGAAACAAAACAAACAAAAAACGAAGAAGACGAAATTAGGTTTAACTAACCTGAAATCGGAGCCAGACACGTGGACGGTGAGATGCTAACGCCTTTGAAGAGGCGAGCCGTCGCGTCTATTGCAAGGCAGATTTTTCATTTTCACCGCCAATAGAGAGTTCTTTTCCACGTGGCAACACGTGGCATCTTCTTCTTTTTTCCCGGGCTCCTCCAATCTCATCATATTAAAATGTTTTGTCTCTGCGAACATACTATCAAAGTTCCAAAATATTCGGAGGATTCTTTTTTCTTCTTTTTCTTTTGTTCTTTTTATTATTAACCAGATCTACGTAGTACGTACCAATGTGCCTACCACTTTCCAAGATTTGTTTTAAAAAAAAGACAGATATTTTGGCTAGTTTAAAATGTGTACAATGGTCAATCTAAAACCGTAAGGATCCTCAAATCCTAATATTTCATGATATAATTTCCAATCAATAACCACCACGAATTAGTTGAAGATCATTTAATTCGATTTCAGCATAGCATACAATGAATACATTCTTCTTTATTTTATTTGTAATGAACCAAATTAGCTTCAATACTCAATAGGTTTGTATTCAAAAATTAGTTAATTGGAGAATTTTAACATTTTTGCGCCATCACAATTTTATACTCCCTCTGTTTTTTAAAAGTTGTCGTTTTAACTGTATTTGGACAAAGTAAGAAAAAGTATACAATAACTATATTAACCTCATAAAAATGACAAGTAATTATTTACAAATAATTTGTGTTCAATAAAATGAGGGTAATTTGGGTAGTTATTGGCATAAATTACATTATTATCTTAAAACGACAACTAATTTAAAACAAAAAAAAAGCTCTAAAACGACAACTATTCAAAAACGGAGGGAGTATACAATACAAACCAGGAATTTTTTGGAAAGGCAAAGTGTTACAAAAACTATTCACAAACATAATTTTAATTAACGTATAGGATCACAAATATAGCATCCATGTTCGTCATTAACATTCAAGCCCATCGTTTGATTTCTTTCTTCGTCTAACTTACCTGACCAGCCGTGGGACATTATTCTTCCGGAGGCAGCCTTTTATCATAATGGTGAGGTCTTTGGTCTGAAGGAATCAGGAATCATTTCTTGTAACTCACAGGCACGTCATCATCTTCTTCAAGATCACTGAATGATACATCTTCATCCACATCCTGCACAAGATGGTTGGTCGCGGCACTAACAGTTCCTGCATTATCTTCATCCTTCAACCAATCATCAGCATCAGCGTCATCATCCACTTGAACATCAATAACTCTAGGTGAAGAACCAGTGACTGGGCTCTGCACCGGCTTGTCATGGTACGCTGGTGCTGGTCTCTCTTCAATGACAGGCTTATCGACAACTTGTATCTCCTTGCTCTCAACTGTGTGCTTCTCTGTCTCAACCTCAGATGACTCAGTCGAATGTATTGTTTCGAGAGCGATCGTTTTCACAGGTTCTGGATCTGATTTGGGTGAAGGATTAGTAGGTTGAGAAAGAGGTTCCACAATTGCACTATCAGCTCCTGTATCACTACTCTCTGGCACCACTACTGTACCTTTGTTTCTCTTATGCAGCAGCTCGTGAGATAATAGTGCTCTTGATTCAAGTACCTAAATGAAAACGCAAAATCAGTGATTCACATCATAGAAAGTTTCACTCTTCTCCCCATTATTATTTTAAAGATGCAAATCTACCATTAAAAACTTGCATCTAATTCACATGAAACTATTAAAGTTCATTATTAGCAGAGAGAATCATCCATCCATTGAAACCTAAACCATAAAATCCAAATAGCTCAAAAACTTTGTAAACAGAGGGAAAAAAGACAGTAATGACCAGCAGTGGAGTTGAGAATCAAACTTACCCGAGGAGTTGAGAGAATCAAGGCATCATGTTTACTGAATAAAGGATGCACAAGTACAAAGTAAATCCTCCAGAAGCAATACTCGCTCATGTACGCTGGACAAAGCTCGACCCTCAAAGCAGCCAGACTCGATGCAAGATTCTCCACAGCCAGCGCATGCTCATATTGAGCATCAGTCATTTCAAAGTCTGAACATAAGAGTTATAACATACCACTTAACAACAACACCTTCAAATTTAGCCTTCACCAAATTACACCACAATCAAAAGATATATGACAATTCATACTATCCCTAAAGTCACAGATTAGTGTACTTAAGAACATCTAATTACAATGTGCTGCGAATTCGGAAACGTACCATCAAAGTTATCATCCTCATCAGGAAAAGGAAAATCAAGCCATGTCTCTGGATGCAGAGCAAGATCCCTAGCAAATAAAACTACTTCCTCCGTTACACCAATTGCATTTCCAACCGCAACATCACGCACCTTCGAATCCACACCTTCCGATCCCAATTGCAAGAAATTCGAAGCCATCTTTGTAAACTCCGATACCGGTAAATTTCCAGAGAGTTTCGATATTCCAGTCCTAAATCTACCTCCGATCTCCACAAAATCGTTCCTAATTCCAGCAATCAGATCCTCATCACCTTCCCCGAGATCCGAAGACTTCCGAGTCTCCTCCACATGATCCGCCGTCTCGGAAGAAGAAGGCGGTGGCGCGAGGAAGGAAGCAACGCCCCATAGCTGACTTCTTAAGGTCTTGGTGAGTTCAGAGATGTCTTCCTTCACGCCGCGAGGAGACTGTGATTGCAACACCGATGGAGAAGACGGTTGATCGGAACCGGATTCTTCAATTGAATTGGTCTTAATCGTTTCCTTTTGATCATCTTCTTCCTCATCGATCTTCAGTGAATTCGCAATGGATCTAGCTAACCATGCCATTTTTTTTTTTTTTTTTTGAGATCTCTCGCAAGTCTCTCAAGTATCTCTTAACCCACGACCTTAAACGAGACACCATTGACGCAAAAATTCAACCTTAAGAAACGTCGTCGTTTACTAATAAAATGGGCTTTGCAGCAAAAGCCCATTAGGTTCAAATTTCAGCCCATCTATAGGTTTGGTCACTGTTACTCTGTTATAGAATTTTATGTCCCAGACATGAGCTCTCGCATCACAAGTCACAAGAGTGTGATATTCACACTTATTCAAACAGAGATTTGCTCACTCTCGTTTTAAAACAAGACAACTGATATATGCTTGTGTGTTTTGGCGAGGAAAAACATCATTTAAAACGCATTAGGCGTTTAGACAACGGTTGCAACAACGATGTTGAAGATGGTTGATCAGCACCAGATTCTTCAATCGAATTGGCCATATTTTTGGATCTCTCTCAAGTCTCTCTTATCAATCGTCACCTTAAACTTGGAGATTAAGTTAGAAGAGTAAAGTGCCCTGGCTAGGGTATGCGAGACACCCATTCAAACTACGAAACATCGTCGTTTAATATGAAATGGGCTTCGTAGCTAAAGCCCATAAGGTTTAGTATCCAGCCCAGCTATATGTTTGGTTTACTACTGTGATTCTCTGTTACAGAGTTTTATGTCAAGACAAAAACTCTCACATCACACTGTGTTTGTTATACACAAACCCACTCAAAACAGAGATTTGCTCAGACTCATTTCCAAAACAGGACAAGTGATATAAGCCTGTGTTTTTGAGCAAAAAAACAGTAGAAATTGTTGAATGATTCACTTGTCAAATCTCTCTTTCTTTTCAATTGTTCATTACAACAGTAGTAGCTCAGATCAATGTATGGAGACTTTTGGTCTCCACCACAACTTATGTGCTCTACTTATTAGACAAGAATCAAATTCTTATCCTACTGTACTTTGAGATGTCACCCAATGCAATAACAGTGATTGATTTTTCAAGAATCACGTTTTTGGTATTTATTTCACATTTAAGACAATAAGGAGGCTGAGATTGAGAACAAAGATGAAATCATGACAATTGTCTAATTTCATAATCTTAAGTAATGCTAAAAGAAAACATTGAATGAAGAAAAAAGATTCAAAAGCTTAAAAGAGGCTCTACAAGTTCAGGTCAAAAGATTTTGCTTCTTTTCTTTTTCTGTTGTGAATGGTCAAAAAAGCAAAACAACCTCTCACAAGAACCCAAATCGAGAGGTTAACAATAAGAGACTTAATATGGTTCCTTTCTTCTTTTTCCCTTTTCTTCTGAATTTGATTGAACCAAAGGCAGTAACTTTACACATTTTTTCTAATTCCCAATGCTTATTGCATAACGAACCAACATGACAACATTACATACCGATCCCTCACCCGCCCGGTTTCTTCCTCTCCCCCGTGTTTCCATCTGCGGATTGCTTCTTCCTTTGAATTGTTACCACCAAAACCAATAGCTCAATCTTCAAACTCTTCATCTATATATACATCAGGGGCAGAGGCAGATTCGCAATGCACATTTACCTTTTCATGGATAACCCCGCTGAATCATGTGTCTTGTGATCAAAGATATAAACTTTTGCTATTGGATTGTCCTTGTGAGTTTGCATTTGGAAATAAACATGGTGTCTGAATAATGTAGACTACAGAGCTTGAGTAGCTCCGCTGACCGCTGCTTCAACGCTGCATCACACCCGCTCTGGATCACGAGTAACAACTTTGCAGCAAGACCGACCTCAACAGCAAGTGGTGAACATTCTTCTGGAGCTAATTTGCAGACAGACCAAAGAATCGACAGCGCGTAGCTAGTGCAATTCTCAGACACCCTCATCAGCACCCTAACGGTATACGGTATCGTGTTTGCAGAGTCTTTGACAGCAACTCTTCCTTCCATATCTGAACACAAAGCATCAAGAACAAACAGAGCTAACTCCAAACATTCCGGGTCTAAAGACGGTAAGATATCGACTAACTGAGGCACTGCTCCAATGCTAACCATCAAGTTTCGAACTTGTTTATGAACCGAAATTGGTTTAAGCAACCCAAGTGCAGGAGAAACTCCATTTCTATGTCTCTTATCCTTAACCAATCTCATTAACCCAACAAGCAAACTATGACTCGAAACCAGCTCTGCTCTAAACCCCTTCTCTTCCACCAATCCTTTAATCAATCTCGCACAATTGATTTTAGTCTCATTGGATCCATCATTCAACATATCAACAATCAAAGAAACCTTAGCCGGTTGCATCAACCCGGATTTCGAATCCGAATCAAGATCAAGACTGACAAGAATAGCAACAACCTCAGATCCAACAGCATGAGAAGTAAAAGGACCCAAAAGAGAAGAGATCACAGAGACACCTCCTTCTTCAACAACAGTCTTCCTGGCCATAAGATGAGCAACAACAATCTGCTTAAGCTCACTCAACGCATGAACCCTAGCTTGACCTTTAGCTTTCTTCAAAGTCCCCAAAATCTCAATAGCTCGTCCTTGAACATCCTCAGAGCGTTTCTTCATCAACACATACTTCTGAGAGAACCAAGTATAGATCAAATGATGAAGAGTTTTATTAGGAGTTACCGTATCATCCCAAAGCTCTTGCATTGTAGTAGGACAAGTCAAGTGACCTAGGTTAAACCATTTGTGAATGTTTAACCTTTCATAGGTTTGACCAGTACACAAGGTCACAGGATCTTGCATCGGCTCTAACGAGATAGGACAAATGAAAACAGAAGGTATATCTTGTAAATCTAGCTCCTTTATCATCTTCTTCAGATCCAATTTCTCATCAACAACTCCACCATTAACACCACCGAGAACTCCATCTTTCACCGCTGTATCCAGATCTAAGACTTGCCCATCACCACCACCTTCAAATCCTATCAACCCATCTCTCTTTAACGGCTGAAACATCGGCATTTCCAAAGAATCTAAAGAAACAAAATCTCTCACAAAAAAAAAAAACCAATTTTTAGAGACGTTTCTTCTCAAACTCACAACATTTGGGAAAATAATGCCTTTGATAGAAAAGCATGTCTTTATCTAACAAAGAAGCGTTAAAACAACAACACAATCTTCTTCTTCTTCTTCTTCTTCTTCTTCTTCCTCTTTCCTTTTGCTTTAATTTTGTTTTCTCTCTTTTCAACGGTCAAAAAGAAGATTCATTCAACTCTTGTTAATAAACAAAACATCATAAACACATGATTGAAGAAGCCCAACTGCTCTCAAAAATGTGAATTTTATAACCACAAATTTCGAGAAACAGAAAAAGGAGAAATCATGAAGAATAATGACAAGGAACAAAAAAAAAAATCAAAGAACCCAGTACAAAAGGTTTGCACTTTGCAAACCAGATAATCTCAGAAGATAAAAAGGAAGAGAATTTGAGAAAACCCAGATGACGAAAACAAAAAAAAATTCACGAATTCGTGAGAATGACGAAGAAACCCGTACTCTCTCTTTTGTTTGGTTTACCTTCTTGTGAGTGAGTGATTGTTTTGTTTTTGTTTCTTTGAGAGAAAAAAAATGAAAAATGGGTAAATAAAATAAGAAAGAGAAAAAAGGGTAGAAATTAAAGATTTGTTGAAAGATTCGGGTGGAAAATCTAAAAATATTAAAGATATGGTGACCGGTGAATACACTGGTTATAGCCGGTCATTTAGTCATCTCGACTCGCGTACCACACGTGCAAGCTAAACCACATGCCCTCACCTCCCGGTTTTTTTTTATAATACTCACTTTTTTAATTACCATTGAAAAACTCAGCTTAATTATTGTAATTTCCAATTTTGTCCCTACATTTTAGTTTTAAAACGTAAATAATAAAAAATTCAGAATTTAACTCTCTCAATAATAGACGAAGAGAAAAAGAAAAAAAAACTCCCAATAATATAGAATTCAGAATTTTTAAAAAATAAAGCTTAGAAAAAATGAAGTCAGTCAAATAATATTCAAATTATACAGGAGATGTAATTGTTCCAATAAAGTGTGGAATAATCGGTTTAAACTTTAAACACTTTAGGTATGTGACTGGGTAGTTTCAATTTTTCTGATAAATATTTTGGTCAAAAGACAACAGTGAAATTCTAAATCCTCTTTTTTAGCTTTTTTTTTTTTTTTCTTAATATCCACGCTAACTAAGGAAATCTACTTTCCCAATTTATTTTTAAAAAGATGTTTGTGAAGGATAAACAAAAAGGAGGGTAAAATAGTAAAGTGAAAGAGTAAAAAAAATTCCGCAACGTAGGCAAAAAAGCTGATAAGTTTTGCACTAAACTCCAAACACCCACGGGGAAGAGTAACCCGTACAGGTCGGGCACGTGTGACGATAGTTTCTATGTTTAATTTCTTAATTAATTTTTTTAATTTCACTCTTAACATCGTTATTAACACCATCAAAGCAACTTTCAACCAAAAAAAACACCATCAAAGCAACTCTCGATTTCTGTTATACCAAATTACGATTACCCTTCTTTTATCTCTCTTATTTTATGAATCAATTAATAATACAAAATAGTAAAAACAATTCTTAAAAAGAGTAAATTATTTTAAAATAATAAAAATAAAAATAGTAATATAGAAAATATTATCAATTTTGGTAGTATCTCTAATTTGTATAGACTTTGTGATTAATAACTATTGATAAAGAAAAACTCCATAATCGTACAGTACATATTACTATTCAAAGTTTATATTGATCAGATTCTTGTAAGTTCGAAAATATGTTTCTAATAAGTACTTCCTCTGTTCCTCAAAGTTTGATGTTTTAGTGTTTTAGGTTTGTTTCACAAAGATTGATTTTCTAGCTTTCTATTTTATTTTTATTAAGTGTTTTTAATAAATCGTAGATTTCAAGACGTAATAATTACAAATAATTAACTGTTTTAGATTACTATTGGTTCATAGATTATTAAAAAATAAAATAAAAAAAAAATTATCAAATGATTAAATCATAATTGTTTCTTAATATATGTGTAAACTCTAAAACATCAAATTTCAGGAAGAGAGAGTAGTTATCTAAATGTCTAAATATCAAAAGTGCAAAGTTATTTTGTCAGTTTAACAAGAATTAAGTAAATACTCCCTCCGTTCTTTAATAAATGGTGTTTTAACCTTCTAATTTTGTTTTTAAATAAATGATGTTTTCAGTTTTTAATGCAAAATTAATTATTTTTTTATTGGTTTTGACGATTTATATTATGTAGATTATTTTTTATTGGTTGATTAGATAATAAATGATGTTTTAGTTTAGAAATAAACAAAAATTAAATGATTTCTTAATCGATGTGCATTTTCCTAAAACATCACTTATAAAAGAACAGAGAGAGTATATTTAAAAAAAAAGAAGAAAAAAAACAGCGAATAGTGAGGTGGGACCACAAACAAAAGTGCCAGCTAGACATAATGTTTGACCGTGACAGTGTCTTGCTTTGACTAAAAGCCTCGATCGTCTCCGGGTCTAATCTCTTTGCCCCTTTGACTGTTCCTTTTACCCACTCATAGCCCACCACGTGTCCACATCTGCCTCTTCCCCACCCAACTTTGATTAAATTAATTAATTGTTTTTCAAAAAATTGCATACAAATTTAACAATCTCTCTACCAAATCAAGATAATTTAATAATAACTTGAAATTGATGGGAGTGGGGATAGAGAAAGAGATAGAGATCTGTAAGAGAGACCATGTGTTGTTTTTGTTGCAGTTGAGTACTGACCCATAACTGCAAAGTTTGCTGTCCAAACAAATATTTTTATTTTCATTTGAAAATATATCATAATAAATTTATATTAATTACTTACTGGACCCAATTTTGAAATGAAAAATTGCAGATTCAAATGAAATGATTTTCAGAGTTGATGATAATGATAAAACAAAAATTTGTGTCTATGAAGTTTTTTTTCTTTCTAGTCAAACTAAGATGATATACTAAAGTGGACCGGCAAGTGTTTAAATGTGATATGACGTGTTTTGTAATCAAGTTTTTATAGACTTTGGGATGGGAGATTGATAGTGATATTATAAAAATTTAATATCAATAACTATATATAAAATAAAAATTGATTTAACATGTAATGAATTATCATCTCTTGTTGGTTATTAAGTAAGTAATACGGACCCGAGTGCTAATGACTGGTGTGAGTGGTGGTGACTAGAGGTGGACCTACGAATAAAAGCGTAACAATTTCATGAAAACGAAGTGACGATGTGTCGTATTTTCCTTGTTGGAATCAACAGTTTTGAATAGGTTTGTTGAACTTGTTTTATATACTTTTATGTTTCTGCAAACATATATACTTGTTGAGTTAGAAGGTTTCAAAAAATAAAAGAATGAACTGACACTAACCAATTAAGTAAGTGGTAGTCTTGGTAGACACTATCTTTCAAAAGAGGTAGTTATGTTTCATGATTATAGTGTTTGTTTGGGACAAGACGATTTACGCATGTCTACATTGTATACAGAACGTATAATCAATCGCTGAAACCGGGGATGGAGCTAGAGACTATAGGCTAAATATGCTCTTAGTTGATTTAGTGGTAAACTGACTCTAAAGACACTTGATCAAGTAGAGTCTTCGACTTGTTCGAGATGAGTGGGTTCTAACCACTGACCACATGTTGCATTCATCATCATATAACCTTAACAATCAAGTGGTTTGTGATGTGAGGAAAAGTAACTACAGGAAATGATACTAATTCGATGGTATATTATATTGGATTGGCAGTGTAACACTCAAAACTTGTGATGGTAGCAAGTTTGTGGATGTCAGATGGAAAAACGGTCTATTTCCCCACGAGAACTATGACATCATAACAAATAGAGCCCAATCTATGACCACGATCTAAATATCCCCGAAAAAATACTTCTCAACCTATATCTCCTCGAATCGATAGTTCTCATCTATTTCTCCATAAATTTGGATTTACTCGGTTTACGACCTAAACCGACATCAAACCACCCCAAAACCAACATTAAACCGAATTAATGAAATCAAGCAAAACTGAAACAAAATTATGTATCATGTTGCCGGAATTGACAATCGAGAGCTTACAGATGTAGCTGAGTAATTTTGAAAGCTAATGGCAAAGGAGGAAATCACCGGAAATTACATCTGACGTTTCGTCTAGGAATAGACACGACTCATGTTTTGGGCGTAGGAATTGAAAGCGTCTGGTCGAGAGGACGTTTTTGCTCTTGGACGAATGGGGATCTCGCAAAGGCAGGGGATTCCTCAGACTCGTCAGAAGAAATCTCCGGAAATTGAAGAGATTCTGGTCGGATTCACATCGGAGTTCACCATTGAAGTAGAGAGGAAGGTTTCGGTTTTTAGGTGGAGAAATCGAGAGAATAATTGAGAGAAGCTATGACTACCAAAGAGGGTCAGTGGGGAAGCCATAGCTGGAGAATGCCAGCTGAGATAAAAAAAATTTGCATCTCTTGAAATCGCGATCGAGAGAGGCACAGAGGATTACAAGGTTCGATAGCTTTCGGTTCGCTAGTGGAGGTTGCGGCTCGGTTTTATCGGAGTTGCAGAGGGGTCGCCGGAATTTGACTCTGTCTCCATTGGAGAGATAAAGTTGTGTTTGAAATTAGGGATTTTAAGGTTGTATCGAGGCATGTGGAAAGAGGTTGGGAAGAGAATAGAGCGTTGAGGTGGAGTGAATGAGTGAGATACATCGAGTTTGTGATTGGTTGATGAACCTGGAGATGGAGAGGTCACATGGTGGTGGTGAGGAGGTGGAGGAAGAGGAGGAGATGAAAGGCAGATCCGCCATTGACGTAAGTGGTGGTGATGCGTGAGTAATTGTTTGGTTTGTGAACTTTAAGAAATTGGTTCGGTTTGGGTTTAAATCCGGTTATGTTGTTGTAATTGGTTTAAGTTTGGTTTAGTATTGTATTTAGGTGGTTAAAAATTGTTTGGTAAATTGTAAACCAAAATCTGTGGGTAAATTAGGTGAAAACTATTATTTTATGGAGAAATAGATGAAAACTATCGATTCGAGGAGATATAGGTTGAGAAATATTTTTTCGGGGATATTTAGATCGTGGTCATAGATTGGGCTCTATTTGTTATGATGTCATAGTTCTCGTGGGGAAATAGACCGTTTTTCCATGTCAGATATATATAGTTCAACTATGTAAAAGAACTTGACTTCTATGAGAATCTTGACAGTTAAAGAATGTCACTGTAGGTAATGAGGTTTGTTTTATCAATTTACAATGATGATGACTTTAATGCAATAGAAATATTCTTGTATCAAGTTGAAATAGTTGCGGATAAAGGTCCAATTTGTGTCTAAAATATATGAGATTACATTGTGGCATAGAGACTCAAACCATATGTCTTAAAAGAAAATCAGTTTACTGATATATAAGAGACTAATAAAAGGCAAGAAAATTCGTATGTGGATTATGCAAGAAGCAAGATTAATGAAAAATAACAAATTATTTCAACCATCACATTGTTCTAATCAAATTACATTTTCCTTGCTTTTCTACCATATTTTTCCCTTTCTACCGTTTCGTCAGTCGCGGTGTTACTAATCGAGGCCATGACATCAATAAACATGAATACACCACAATGCATTGCTACGAATATGATCTATATCATTTTAGCTTATTTATTTTAACGTTTTTTAAAAAAAAAAAATTTAACGTTAAAGAAGTCAGAAGTGTGAAACAATCTTTTAAGAAATGCGCACGAAGGAATAAAA